CGCCACCCTCTCGCTTCCTCTACACCCTCTCTCCTTGCAAATCTCGTCCTTATCGCTCTCTCCTCCCTCAACATAAACTCTTTCTACCTTCCAAACTACAAACCTAACCCACTTCATTCTTTCTCTTTGACCAACAACTCTCTTTTCCTCTCGTATCATGTTGAGTTCTCTAGGTGTGGTGAGATTGGTGTGGGAAGATTTTGATGTTTGTTTGCTTGGTATAGTGGTTATTGGTTGGTTCTTATTGATTTAATGGATTTTGAGTGATTAGTAGTTTCTTTTGGGTTTATTTTAAGAGATAAATGGAATATAAAGTTCATTTATTGTTGGTTTAGCAGATTTGACATCTCTACTTTTTGTTTGATGGATTGGGATCGAGCATATCTTTTAGTTTATTATTGTTCTAGAGATAATAGTAAATAAGAGTTGATTTTAAAAAATTTAAATTTGTTTGAATAGCTCAATTGTTGTTAATGATTAGGTAAATCACGTAATAAAGAATTATTGTAGATTTGATTAGATAAGATTTTTTTTTAAGATCTTTATTGTATATCTTAAATTTCTTCTTTTAAGTCCGTATTGTACATCTCAAATTTATAGTGATTGTCGTTATCCGACATCGGACGGGACTCCTCAAAAATATCTAAAATTAGATTAAAATATTTACAAGTTTATTTACGAGTTTGGAGTCGCCACCTAGTATTGAAGGAACTATGAATCTAAAACGGACAATCGGTTCGGAGATTCTATGGTAAGGAGTTGGTTACGCTTTTAGAAAGATATCGATCACCCAAAAGCGTCCTTCCCGAAAAAACGTACCACGTTTGGTTTAGTTCTAAATTTATCTCCTAAAATATTTTATTTAAGTCAAATTATTTTTTTTGATTTTTTAAACTCCCATTTTTAAACAAATTGAATTTTTTAGTCTTGGGCGTGGTATCATATTAAAACGATCATCGGTCCCCTTCGTCGGGTGACACGTCGATTCAAACATCGGATCCGAGTTTAAGCCTTAACACAACCGGTGTGTCGAAGGATATCTTGATTTAAACAATGATTTTTTTTGGTGATGTCACCTCTATCAAATAGGAGGCTTCGTCGAATTTATTTATTTATTTATTTTTATGACGTCGATCCATACCATGTAGGAGACTTCGCCAAAATGTTTAGGCATTTTTTTTATGATGTCGATCCTCGTACATAGGAGACTTCGTCAATATTTTTTTTTAGCAATACCTACTAAAACAAAAAACATAAAAAAAAATTAAAATAACAAATCTAAATTAATACCTAAAAGAGACAAGAGATAAAAATAAATAAGTAATAAAAGATAAAAAATAAAAATAAAATAAAAAAGTCATCCTATATAAACAGAGTTAAAAAAATAGATGAATAATAAAAGTAATAAAAAGAATAATCCCGTGCCTAAAATATTAACCCACAACTTTTACTTTACTTTTTTTTTTTTTACCCATCCCCCTTTTTCTTCCTCTTAGTTTTTTTTTTAACTCTATTTTTATTTCTTTCCTTTTTTTTTTTTTTGTGAGGGACACGGGTCGAGTCGAATTCCAGCCTAGCTCCCTTTTATTTTGGGTTCAAAGGGCACGAGCTGAACCGATAAAAGTCCAGCCCTTCTTGTTTCTCTTTTGTTTTTTTTGATTTGTGGATCGAGCTGGACTAGGCCCAAAATAGTCTAGCCTTTGTTTTTTACTCGTTGGGTTACAAACCAAAAGACGAGCCCGTTCTCTTCATGTTTCGATTAAACATGTTTTTTTTAGTTCCCGATTCTTTCTCTCTCCTCGTTCTTAATTTTCACTTTCTATTTCTTCAAACTTTCGAGAACAAACGATTAATTATGCAAACTAATGATTTATGGCATGAAGACATTGACAAGCGGACAATTATCACCGAAAACAACAACAAAATCGAACAGGAAGATCGAACCCGAAAGCCGACTTGGAAATCACGGCTAAAGAACATCAAGCAACCTAGAAAAATAAAGAGCAATCGCCTGTAACTCCAAAAAGGGAAACCCGAGAATTGAAGGATTTGAACCGAATTTTTAGGAAGTAGGATTGAGCGATACTCTAGTGGTGGAAAATCAACAAGAAAAACACCAAGAAAAAGGGCTAGAAGAGACCATCGACCGACGAACTAAAACCCGAAACCCAAAACATAAAGACCATGAAGAACCCAAACCCAAAAAACCCGTAAAAACCCGACTTCTAAAAGATCAAAAATTTGATTTGTTGCTTTCGATTTTCACCCTCTCCGAACCCGAATTAGTCGTGGAATTAGGGGTGAGCATTCGGTTAAACGGTTCGGTTTTGTACGATTCGGTTTGGTTTTTGGTTAATCGAATTAAAAAAATAAAAACCAAAATCGAACCGAAATAAATTCGGTAAATTCGATTTGTAACCGAATTATTTCGCTTTGGTTTCGAAATATTTTGGTTTTAACCAAAATATTTTGTTGTAAAAAAAAAATCATTACGGAGAGATATTTTGTACTAGCACTCAGTCCATTAGCCAATGAAGTAACATCTTGTTATAAATTAATCTTTTTTATAAATAATCATAAAGCCCTCGAAGATTTTAATTAAACTTTAATGAAAACGAGTCCAAGTGTAATAAATTTGCTCATACAAACAAATTGTATCCTAATTAATTACACTATGTCACTTTCTTTTCTTACCCCAACTGGTCCTCAAAATTTACTTCTCATCCGCGTGTTTCGGCTTCAACAAGAATGAAGATTGAAAAGTTAGAGATTTAGAAATTAGGAAATTTTTTATTATTTATTTTGGTTTTCGGTCAAAACCGAATTTTTTTTTCTAAAAACCGAACCGAACCGAACAGAAATAATTTTAGTTTTTTCGGTTCGGTTTTATATTGTATAATTTTATATTTAAAACCGAACCAAATTTCATAATTTGGTTCGGTTTTATTCGGTTTTCGATTAACCGAACCGTTTGCTCACCCCTACCAATTCCCCTCTTTTTTTGAAATCAAACTCATTTTTATAGCCAAAAGCTTGCTTTATTTTCTCCTAGAATCAAACACAAAATCTCCCAAAATTTTCTCGTCAAAAATCTCAAATTTGATTTGATTTGCTAATCAACAAGGAAAGGAATTAGTGATTGCTTGATTCTCTCGTCCAAAATTAATTCAATGATAAATGTAGAATCAAAACAAGAAATTTGTGGACGATTTGGCAGATTTCTTCAAAGATTTTCGAAGGGAAATTAGAGTTGGAGCAGACGACAGGTCATCCTTCTCATTCCAAGTCTTGTCGTCTCGCTCCAAAAGTTCAACTTGGTCCCTATGCTTTTCAAATTTCTACGATCACACCCTTTTGTGGCATAATTTCAACACAATCTTATCAATGGGGTCCCCGGAGGTGTAATTTAAGGCCTAAACTTTTTAATTGACTCGATTACACCCTTAATTACTTCAATTATATCCTTAAATGAATTTTTTTGTTTTTTTCATCATTTTTCTTTCTTCTTTTTTTTCTTTTTCTTTAATAAACTTCAAATTAAAAAAGAAACAAAAATAACAAATAATAAATAAATAAAATAAAAATAATAAAATAAAATAATAAAATAATAAAAATTTGGGTTATTACAGAGATTTCAAGTGTTTTCTTTCTTTTGTATTTTTTTTGTCATTATTCTTAATTTTTTGTTTTATATATTAAAATGTGTTACTTGAAGACGGTTTTTGTGAACTAAACCGTGAGAGAGGAAATGAGAGAAAAAATGGAGGGAAAAAAGATTTAACAATTAAATTTAGGCATGAGTTTTTCGGTTATCTTACTACCATTCATTTGTTACATAAAATTGATCAACGTGATGGTTCGACTTGATTACAAATAAAAAAATTAAAATTTGAATACCAATCTTTATATAACCAATAGTACAAAATATCTTAGAACCAAAACTAAATGCAAAAATTTCTTTTCGTGCAAGAAAGTTTGTAAATTTTTTTTCCATGAAAGTCAGCACGGGTACGATTGATAGATTTAAGAGAGACAATACGCAGAAAGCCTTTCTTAAGTCAACATAACGTTACACGCTTAGGCATGACTATATATAGCCTTACAACAGAAAGCAATAAAGGAAAGAAGCTCAAGGACGCAACTACAAGACTTCTCTAATAAATAATATCAAAGACCTACTTAAACTCTTGACTTAAACTCTACTTCATATATCATAGACCTATTATGCCAGGCATGCTAAGCATAATAAATCCTAACAATACGATTGCCTCAGCGGCTCAAAATCTAAAAATCAGAAACTTCTGAGTGCGCCCCAAATTGGCAATTTGCAAGACTCTCCTAGGAAAAAAAAAAAAAATTCCCATTTTCCTGGAGACCAAACACACCCAAGACTACTCCCGCTGTTACCGTCGCTGTACTAACTTTCCCTGGCCAATGATATAAAACCAATTACCCATTTTCATGAGCATAATTTTGCTTGGACTCATCAACAAAGAAGGTTAGTAGTTTGGTACCCTCTCTCTCTAAAAAATTTCGATTTTTTTAACCGGGCAAGTAAGCTTTCAATTGATATTTAATCATATTGTGGAGTTCTTTGTTTTGAAAAGGATTTTTTTTTTTTTTGTGGATTTTTTTTTTTGGCTAAGTTTGTTGGTAATAAGTAATGGAAAGCAAGCTCCTTTCTCTCTATTTGTGTTTACTCTCTCTCTCTTTCTTTTTTTCCCGCTAATGGGACTTTCTTAATTGCTAAATTGTAAAATTTGAGCCGATTACAGTTCATTTTAGTTTGTAATTTCTCTACAAATGTATCCAAGTTGTAAACTTTGAAGAGACAGTTGAGGCTTTCTTGTTTCTGTTTTTTATTTTTAATTTCTTGCAGAGACAAAAATTTGTGTCTTCATGGGTTTGATGATGACTAAACTATGAAATCTGAATCAGGTCTGGCGTCAATTGTTTGACAGGCAAAACACTTGACAAGTCAGCTGGCAAATGGAGATTAAATGGTACTTAGAACTATGTTCCTTTCTAATTCTTCCTTAATAACCTCTAAGATACTGGTTAACATAAAAAACCCTTCTGCAATTTTCTCTTCTATTACTAAAGGTCACAATGTTTGCTCTTATTATTACTTCTTCTCGAGTTCATCTTCTTCTAACAACAAGAACAGGAGCCTGATACTCCAAATTGCTAATGCCTTTCACAACCAACAAAGCCCCAAACCTTTAAACCCTACTATTCTCTCTAAATTACAACTCCACCATGTACAAGACATCATTATTGCCCTCCAGTCTAAGCCATTTTCTGCTATTCGATTCTTTGAGTGGGCCGAGAACTTTTTCATTTCACCACTCTCTGCACCGTCATTCTGTGCCCTCCTCCATGTCTTGCTTCAAAACCAATTATTTAGTCCTGCTGCTTGTGTTTTTGATAGGTTTATCATGCAATTTGGAAATGATTACGACATTTTGGGTGCCTTTCGTGATGGTTTTCATTGTTTGGGTTCGACAAATCGTAGTGTTGTTTATGGGTTTTTGATTGAGAGTTATTGTCGAAAAGGGATGTTTGATAGGTCTATTGATATATTCTTGCATGCCTGGGTAAAGGGTAATTTGGTTTCACCAAACGTGGTGTCCTTGTTGTTGGGTTCTTTGGTTGATTCACATTGTATTGATGTACTTGTGGATAAGTATGGTGAGCTGTGTTCAGCAATGAAAGAACAGCGTTTTAGTGTTTATGAATTTGTAATGAATAGGTTTATGAACAAGGGTGAGGTTGTAATGGGTTTGAAATTCCATAAAGCATTGACTGAAGCAGGTTTTGGTCTGGATATTGTTACTTGCAATAAAATTTTAAAAGGTCTTTGCATGCAAAATGAGTTGGGAGTGGCAGATGATTACTTTAATATGGTAGTAATGTTTGGTCCGACACCAAATGTTGTGACATTTAGCACATTGATTGATGCATACTGCAAAGAGAGAAAGTTGGATAAAGCATTTGTGCTCTTTGATGTTATGACAGTGAATGGTGTGGCCCCAGACTTAATTGTCTATAGCATTCTTATTGATGGTCTATTTAAGGCAGGGAGGCTGGAAGATGGACATAGGCTCTTGTTGGTAGCATTAGATAAGGGTATCAAGTTGGATGTTGTTGGTTTCAGCTCAGCCATGGATGCATATGTGAGAACTGGCAATTTAGAGAGGGCGATTCTTATATATAAGAGAATGTTGAAGGAAGGGGTTTCACCTAATATGGTTAGCTACAGCATTCTTATAAAGGGGTTTTGTCAGAATGGTGGGATCTTAGAAGCTTGTGGACTGTATGTTCAGATTCTGAAACATGGTTTTGAGCTGTCTATTTTAACTTACTGCACTCTCATTGATGGATTTTGCAAATCAGGAAATTTGAGGGATGGATTTTATTTATACGAGGAAATGATGAAGAAAGAATTTGAGCCTGATACCATTGTTTACAGTGTGCTAATAAATGGTCTATGCAAACAAGGGTTGGTGGGTGATGCACTAAGATTCTTCTTTCAGGCTGTGAATAGGGGTTTAAGTCCCAATGTCATTACTTTAAACACCTTACTAGACAGCTTCTGTAGATTGAGATGCATAAGGGGTGCTATGAAGGTGTACAATTTATTGGGAATGTTAAATATAAAAGCAGATGCGGTGACCTACACCATCCTTATTAAGGGGGCTGCTCAAATAGGTAGAGTTGATGAGGCACTGTTATTATTCTTCCAAATGCTCAAGAAGGATTTCAAACCAGACATCGTAACATATTGCACTCTAATTGATGGACTTTCTAAGCTGAAAAAATCATCTGCAGGGTTATGTTTTTTTGATGTGATGTGCAAGAATGGTGTGGCCCCTGACATTGCAATTTATAATGTTCTCATTAATATGCATTCTAGGGAAGGCCGTTTGGAGGCTGCACTTGGACTCTTTGTCCATGTTGTTGAGAGAGGGCCAAAGCCTGATATTATTACTTTTAACACAATGCTTTGTTGTTACTGTACTTTCAAAAGGTTAGATGATGCAGTTCAGCTTTTTGTGATGATGACAAGTGAACAGCTCAGACCCAATGCCATTACCTTTACCATACTGATCGATGCATTTTGTAGAGAAGGTAGAACAGATGATGCCATGTTGATGTTCTCTAAAATGTTGGAAGAGGGTCCCGAACCCAATTTGGTGACATATAGTTGTTTGATTGATGGTTATTTCAAATCGCAAAGTATGGAAAATGGCTTTAAGCTCTTTGATGAGATGCTTGAAAAGAATATTGCTCCAAATATAGTCAGTTACAGCATCCTCATCGATGGTCTATGTAGAAGAGGTCTGATGAAGGAAGCATCTTGTGCCTTTCGCTGTGCACTAGACAAACATTTGTTGCCTGATGTTATAGCATACACAATTCTGATCCGTGGATATTGCAAGGTTGGGAGATTAACTGAAGCTATGATGTTGTATGACCATATGTTATTGAATGGAATCACTCCAGATCACTTCCTTGAAAGAACAGTTGAGGAGTATCAACTTCAAAAAGTTGGAGCAAAATATTTGTCTGTTTAAGGATGTATGGAGAAGATCTTCCTATCATCATCCTGCAATTAGGCGTCATGGTGAACGAAATCAGCACTGCTGCTTTCTAGGTACTTATTGTAATGTCTATTAGAGTTATATTTCATCATACATATTCACTTACAAGCATAGACAAACTCTGTTCTTACACTGTAAAGAAGATAGCCGTGTACTCTTGTCTGGATTTGATACATGTATTATTACTCTCGCAATACCAGACTGAACAATTTACCCTTAAAGAATATCTCAATTTAAATTTTTTTCTAATTATTTGGTTCATACCAGCCCTTTTTCTCTAATTTATTTCTACTTATTTTAGCCTTTTTTAAAACTTTCAATTTTATAAAAAATATTATTAATTGAATTTTTTCTTTTTTAGATAATTATTAAAATGCCAAGTTCATCATCGTATTGGTCAGTAGTTAGTCAATTTTTGGAAATTGGTCAAACTAGGGAGCTCTATTGCAGATATGGATGGAAGGGTTGGCTCGCCACAGAACATGAAATAGAAGGGCTGGTATGGACCAAAATTGAGTAGAGAGGTTGACATGACTAAAATTCAATAATACAGGGATATGCAACGATTGTTTTTGCCATTTGACATTTAATCTCTGTCTTGAATGTTAGCAGATGTTTCTTTTCAGGGAAAAAGTAGAAGGCCCCATGTTCAATCTCTCTCTCTCTCTCTCTTTTCCCTTTGAGAACTGCCTATGGCATTATTCTTTGAATTAGAAAAGAATGTTAAGAAAACACGTTAGTCAATCCATGCGGCAGTTATACCAAGAAAAATGGGTTTTTTCGTGAATAATTGTTTGCTATATTCATAATAATTATTTGTTCATGGGGTTTGTGGTTACTTTTTGTTCTCCCCTTACAATCTGATATTTCCCTTCTAACTGATGGGTTTCTATTTTCAAAGGTCAGCTTGATGATCATAGTGGTGTTGAATCATGGAGACTTGATTGGTTTCTACTCCTATAGGTAACTGTGCATGTGGTAAATAGTTAAATGAGGGTTAAAAGATTTTGGTTTTCTGGAATAAACATTGAAAGTACTTCAATTAAGGATGGTTATTGCTCGGAAGCTTTAGCTGACAATGAACTTTCTTGCCGTGATGTAAGCAGGCAGAGGGACAGTGTGCATTTGGACACCAGCAAATCCTGTTTTACATGCAATCACTCCAAAAATGGAGTGAAAATCTTGAAAAGAAAGGGCTGTCTCTCCAGCTTGTCTTTCATCAATAGGTAATGGCAAAGTTCAGCTAAGAAATGTACACAGCCTTCACTTGCATTCTGCATTTTGGGTTGCACATGCTATCTACATCATCAACATGTGCTGCATGGTGGTCCAGAATTGGCTTACTTTTGATTCAATCATGGTGCAATAATATTTACGAAAGGATTTGTGGACGGACTGAACAGATAGAACTTATAAGAGCTCCAGAGATGGAATGAAGGGTTTGGATGAAGAAGAACGGTTCCCTGGAAGAGGATATAATTCTCTCAGGAAAAGGCAAGAGGTATCATGTCAACATCTTCTTCCAAAGTTTATCATTAGGGCTTGGATTAAATTTTAACCATCTCTGTGGGAGAAGCAAATGCATCTTATCAGATTCCAAAGACATTCTTTCAGTTTATTCTGGCAACTAACCATTCTTCTGCATGAATAGTTTCAGGAATACCCAACAAGAATCATTCTGATCCTATCTATCTTCTGAAGGAAGGAAGGATCCAAAATATGGCAAATGCTATTATATCTGATAAACTCCCAGTTTGACCTCGGAAAGAATGGGCCAAGGATGTCCAAACTGTGTTAACTTCAAGTGGGGAGGCAGTTATGCTGAGGTGATTATTGATCTTGCTCGATATATATTTTTATATCACATGAAATTCTTATGATCAATGAAATGAGCACCAAACTTTTGTCACTGTTTGTCAAAGTTTGTACGTACATGTTTCCTGTAGGTCTGGCTGGTCTGTTGGCAGAAGGCAAATAATTTTCCTTGTCATTGACTGCTTTCAAAATTTTAGAAGCTTAGAGTCTGTGTTGTAATTTCAACAAAGTAGTTGTATGTGCTATTTCTCAAACCCAAGAGAAGGTTATGGAACACTGCCATGTTACAAGAAATGACAGACAGCAAGCTGCAAGTTTCTAGATTATTAATTGGCAAGTAATAACAAAATGATTCTATCAAACAGGCTGTTTATTTTCACATACAGCAAGCCTGAACTAGTTCTACGCGCTGCTTACATTTCTACTAGTACTAGGCTACTAGCTATTGGGAGACCTAGCAAACATGTAGAGACAAAAGAGAGAGAAATAACAGGTAGCTCCTGGCCATGATATGGATCATCCTCTGCATCCTTCAGCATCTATTCCTTCATCTGGGCCAGGGTCTTCTTCTCCAGGTTCTTCCTTGGCGGGGTGTATGAATTCACGGCCTACCTCCGCCTTTTAGAAAAATGAAGTTCTTTCTATTCATTTACAATTGCCTCACATGCATAATACTGACTCATGGGTACTATTTCGGACATTTTCTTCGATCTCAGTCGCCCGTAAAAAATGTGCTATTTTTTCGCAGTCGTCTGATTTGCCAACTTGGTACTTTTTAATTTTTTTGTTTTCTGTTGATGTAGGATTGTTGCTTGGTTTATGCCTTCTAAATTTTTCTTAATTTCTCTTTTACCATTACAAAAGAAGTTAAAAACCATTCTGTTTCATTCTTAATTTCGATCTTGCCACTCAATGAATTTATGAAAGTCTATACTTGCCCTCAGTGGATACGTCTTTTAATTTTCTTTTTTTATCTTTTTCGTTATTTGCTTTTCTTTTCACATGGAGCATTTAATGCTTTGTCATCTATGCTTTTTTTTTTTTCCCCTTAAGAAACAGATTGGTATTCAAAAGTAAATTATAAATTAGTTCCTCTCTATTTGAGAACGAATTAATTAACCTTTCTGGTTTAAAAACTATTTTTAATCTTTTTTTACTATTTATTTATTTATTTATTTTATTTTTCGTTTTAAGAAATAGCAAAAGAATAAATAAAAAAAGAAAGAAAGAAAAAATGAAAATATTGATGAGAATAAGAGATATTTTATAAAAAAAGTTAGTTGTGATTTAAAAGAATTAAGTAATTAGTCATATTTCATCTTCTCTTTAATTTGTTCGAAAATAAGCGACAATAGAAATATTCTGGAAGACAAAATGGAACTAAGTAATATATCTAGCTTCAAAGATAATTTCTGTTATGGGCTTAACTTCCTTCCACTATGGAAGTTCTTCAGCCCAAACCAATAATTCCTGGGCCACAGTCTTAGTCCATTTTCGAGGTTTGTGAGCCAGGCCTTTTCTATTTTTTCTGGTCAGCGCAGCAGCTCTCTCCAATTGTTTGGCGCCCTTATTTCGACGCGACGAATCATTTTGATTATTCCTCAAAATTGATAAAATCCTCATGCAATTTGGAATCCCCTGGAAACTGAAAACAAATTTAACCAACCGCCTCACTTCCTTATAACCAACTCTCTCTTCTCTTCTCTTCTCTTCTCGTCTCTTGTCTTTCTTTTTGTTCAATTCAAACCACAACTTGCTCAATAAAATTCAATCCCATAGGTCCGAAAGAATTAAAATCAAGCGAACTCACTGATGATATCAAGGTCCAAAAGTCATTGCAAAGACAAAAAAGTCAAAATATTTTATGGCTAAAATTAGTTAGCTAGCATCCATTTTCCACACTAAGAATTTTTCATTTTGTTTTTTAGATAAAACAATGCCAAGTTTGAAGAATATATTATAATATGTTTTTTATATACAAATTAATTAGTTTTTTTTTCAAAAACTAAATACTTAGTATTTACATTTTTAAGTTCTCTAGTAAATTGGTCTTTTTCATTTTTTTTTAATTTATTTTGATTTTTTTAAAAAAAAAAGAGAAAAGATTGATTTGTTTATGAAATAAAGTAATATTAAGATCAGATAGTCAACAATGGTTAAGAAACTAAATAATTAATTTTTGAAAAAAAAGATCAATGAATTACTTTTTGAAAATAAAGGAACTAATTTATAATATAATCCAAGTTTGAAGTTTGTATTTACCGTTAAAAAAGAAAAAAGAAAAAGAATACCGTATCAATTTATATAATTATATAAATTAAGGTTAATAATAATAATAACAACTTTGCCCGTGTCGTGTTGTTTTTCTATTTTATTTTTCTTTTTATATTAAAATGACTCTAGTGCAACTTGAACTCTATGTTTATTACCATTTTTCTATTTCTTTTATTCTTAAATAAAGAGTGCAATAAATAACCTTAATTTCAACAAGGTATTATATAGTATAAATACACACCATCATGTTAGTTCTCAAATTACTCCATAATGCAGAAGGCTTGCTATATGCATCATTATTATGATAAATTTAGTTTTGGTATATGAAAATATTAAGTTAGAAGGTTAAGTAAATTTGTTTTTTTTAAAAAAAAATTTGAATCTTGAAATCATTATATTCTTATTAGTTTTGGTATATTCTCTGTCTTTTATTTATTACATGTGATTGATATGAGATATATGTAAGCTCTTGAAATTGTATTTTTTTAAAAAAAAAAACTTATTTTTAATTGATATCCAACTTAACCGAGGAATACTCCTAACTGTCAAAAAAAAAAAAAAAAAAAAAAGAATTGATGTATGAAAACTTGCACATGTTAAAGCTGAAAAAACAAAATCTCTACAATGTAGGTTTTAATGAATTTCAATGTTCGATACAAAATTTAAAAGTTGTTATCATAATTTTGACATAAAGTGATTTGTACAACTTCAAATCTTGAAATAACCTAAAGAGCTCTAATCAATTTTGACAATCCATCTCTTCAAATGATCTACACTTTAAGTAGACTATAAATTAATTCATTTAGTTTTGATAAATGAATTATTATTATTATTATTATTAGTTTAAGAACTAATTATTTAGTATCTATATTTTTAAATATATT